TTGAGAGAACAAGAGGAGTATGAGCGAGGAGAAGAGGAAGAAAGTGATGATGACGATGACGGTGATCACAGTGACGATAGTGATGAAAGCGATAGTGAAGTCGAAACACCGGATGAAAATGCTGGTCAAGGCTTTGGTGGTCCTGATGATTCGGATGAGAGCCCGATGGAGACCGCAGAGGAGCCGGGGGCATTCACAGTAGATGATGTTAAGCGGATAGGAGTAGTGGTGAAACAGCCTTTAACGTCTATGGTTGGTATATCCATCGCGACCTGTTTATCATGTGAGGTCATAGTTGCCTGCAACAGGTGCAGGAAGATGCGGCCGATGGTGGTAGACTTTGGGGAGGCTACCGAGCAGAGGGTTGTCGCGTGCAGTGGGAAGTGCCATACGTGCAGTCTTGTGAACAACATATTCGCTGTAGTGGAGCCCATGTTCCCGGGCAGCGACTTTACGCTTTTTCGGGCGATTACTGAGTCCTGCACAATATTGCAAGTAGTTGAATGCACTCTGGAGATCCGCTGTGAAGAATGCGATAAGGCTATACAAGCTCGGCATTTGAGATCGGGTTATCGAAAGCAGGACAATTGCCAGGATTGCCATGTGAAGATGAACCTGGGTGTTGGTCAAGCGTCGGTGCCCAAGCCTGAGCATTTCATAGTGGCTCCGGTAGTGAAGAAGCAGCAGCGGAAGAAACTCACAGAAGATCCCAGGATAATTCCGGGTAAGATGGGAGGGGTGCGGTAGTAGTTGTGAATAGACCATTGAGGCACAGTTCACTACAATCTGAGTCAACAGTAGTGTGACCTCATGTAATTCGTCGCATTTTCTAGTGCATTTTCTGGCGGTTCGATAAGTTGTATTGTGGTTATCATTAAAGTGACTGCTCCTCGATGCCTGCATCTTCCATTAGGTAAGCCTTTGCCCAAGAATGGTACATGTAAGCATTATCGACATTCCTACCGATGGCTCCGATTCCCTTGCTGTGGGATGGCATACCCCTGCGATCAGTGCCATGATGCGGCCTGGCCCGACCATCATGCCGTGTGGGCTAAGCGTATGCTGTGTGGATGGTGCGCTACCGAACAGAACTTCGGGCCAGTACCATGCAGGAAGTGTGGAAGGCCACTGAACAAGATACGCACTAGGTGAGGGGGAAGCATTCGTTGGTTGATGATGGTTTACTGATCAGTCATTGGGAAGGCGGTGAGGGATGCCGAAATACGAGCTCTATGAGTAAGAATGATAAGAAGAAGTACGCGGGGAAGAACAAGACTGTCAGTCGGAAGGCGGCAGCCGCTATAATGGCGGGCGGGAAGAAGAAGAAGTAACATCATATTCATTGAGGGATTACAATTGTCATCATATTGACTGGTTTCTACAAAACCAATTTGTGCTGACTTGCCAGTTGTAATGCTATACCCACAGTAAGTGAAGGTCATCGCCGAGCCGAAGAGGAGACCACAACTAGAAGTAGTTTATACAACGATGATCATCTCCAACCACTTAACCTTCTGGAGCCGATGGCTGACTAAACAGCATCCTTCCCCTCCCGACAATGGCTTCTGAACATCCCTTCCGGTCAGACGACAACAGGCGTCATCTGGGCTACGTAACTCATCAAATGCGCACTGTTGCGAGCGTGTGGTTTTGACTAGCGCAGTTCTTATAGTAGAGCCGTGTGTGGTACACACTGTGTACTACTGTAGTAGTGCTCACTGTACACAGTGTACAACATATAAGTTCTATACGAGGAATAATCTCCTCAAATTTCGGCGACCTCAGACAGAGTATTCTCCATACGCCCCGTCTACAATCGCGAACGATCTTAATGCTCTGAGTTTGACAGAAGACCGCCTTAAACCTGCAGTCTCAGACGAAG